TGCCGTCGTTGCTCCGCCACATGTCGCCGCCGCTGACCGGTGGTTGACCGGGGTTGCTACTTTATTTTTTATTAATTTTTTAATTTTTAAAATGTAATAAAAAAAGTGAGTTTTGGAGTTCAAAGTGGTTAACTTTGCTTTATTTCTAGGTGAGGTTTGCATTGTGCATTGGTGAGCTTTGTAGTGCAGTGTGGTGAGCTTAACGTCATCTCACTGAAGCATGTCATCCACCGTAAGGTGTCATCTCACTGGAGTCAATTCATATATATATATATATATATATATATATATATATATATATATATATATATATATATATATATATATATATATATATATATATATATATATATATAATGTTAAACATAATGAAATACTTCCTCCGTCTCAGTGCATTTGTCCAGTTTGACTTTTTTGAGTCAAACTAGCTAGACAAACTTTGAACTTCAATTACTCTCAATTTATGTTGCATATTAGCATAATGAAATACTCCCTCCGTTCCTTTAAACCCTTCTATCTTCAAAAAGTCAAAGTTTTTCCAGTTTGACTCGAAAAAGTGAAAGTGGGCAAATACACTGGGACGGAGGGAGTATATATCTGTGTATGTATGTGTGTGTATGGAGTCGATCCAAAGTCTTGTCACCTGAATGGAGTCGACTCCATTATATGAAATCGACTCCTTTCAAATAATATCTTACGATAAGATGACATGCTACAGTCAAATGAAATGAAAGCAAAGATCATCATTGCCAACAACTGTAAAGCGAAGGCCAAATCATTTCTAGGAAATTTTGCAATGAGATGGAAAAAGTTGGGACCCGGCCGAGTAGGTAAGCAATCCTTGCCGCCTAGGGTATGGTACTAAGACAGTTAAGCCGTGTGTGTATAACTGTATAAGTATATATACTCCGGGTAGTATGTATGTATGTATGTGCCCTCTTCTATATATCTCTATTAATTAGCTAGCTAGCTAGGGAGTGATAACATTAACTACCGGCCGGCCGGAGAGTGCATAATTTAATTAGGTGAGATGAACGGCGGCGGTTGTGAACTACGATTTTGGGGATGTTGTGTTTTATTCTTATTTCTGCCTCCCGTGATCGGTTGTATCTTTATTGCTTCGAGGATTAAGGAGAATGCCGAGTTGAAGAAGGCTCGGAATCTGCCACACCCGCAGTACACCCTGTTGGATGCCGCCTTGTCCCCCAACGCAACCGTGGACGAAGCCCAAAGCCGGCTAACCGCCGACTTCACCTACACCCTCAAGGCCTACAACGACCCAAAGATCAACAAAAACAAAACCATTTTCTACGACGACGACAATAATAATAATTCATCATCGGCACTAGCGGCAGAGGTGACACTCTATTATCTGGTCGGGGTTAGCTACGGGAAGAACCAACACGGGAAGGCGCGGGTGGAGTTCGCGTCAGTGTCGTCGGCTATGGTCGGGGGCGGCCCCTCCGCGCTGAGTCCCCTCGGCTCCGCCGTCTTCACCGTCAACGTTCACGTTCAGAGCCTGCCTCTTCCCTACCGAAACGACGACGCCGCCACCCGAACTACACCATGATCTTAAACGTGGATTATCAAGCTGGGTTTGATGATAGTAGTTATCACAAGGTTTCGGTGAGTTGCGACGGTATCAAATGCACTTTTCCACTGGTTTGCAAGGTGGAGTACGACACTACATGTACTTCGTTTCCTCTAACCAGGTCCGACATCATCATCACTTCACACTCCCTCCTCTTAATTACTTCTTTACGTACTTTCCTCGCTCATTTGTTAAAATAATACTCTCTCCTATATTGGAAAATAATTTATGTTTTAGTCACAATAATATACTCCATCCCTCCCATAAAATCCTTTTCATTCATCCTAAAAAACTCTTCTCTTTTTATATTAAAAAGTCACTTTTACTCATATTAATTCTTAATCTACCAATCACATCACATCTTTTCTTTATTAATTTACACATCTCATCTTACTTTATCCATCACATCAAAAAGCANCTGAGTCCCCTCGGCTCCGCCGTCTTCACCGTCAACGTTCACGTTCAGAGCCTGCCTCTTCCCTACCGAAACGACGACGCCGCCACCCGAACTACACCATGATCTTAAACGTGGATTATCAAGCTGGGTTTGATGATAGTAGTTATCACAAGGTTTCGGTGAGTTGCGACGGTATCAAATGCACTTTTCCACTGGTTTGCAAGGTGGAGTACGACACTACATGTACTTCACTTCCTCTAACCAGGTCAGTCATCATCATCATCATCACTTTACACTCCATGGTATCTCTCACCTAATTAATTACTACCTTATTAATTGACAATAATATACTCCCTCCGTTCCACTAAACTTTTCCTCTTTCGTTTTTTTTGCTTTCCACAAAACACTTCCACTTTCTATTAAAAACCACTTTTACCCCTACTTTTTCATACCCTACCTATCACATCATACTTTATCACTAATAACCAAACTATCACATTTTACTTTTTCCCATCACATCAGGGGCAAAATTGGAAACTCAACCAAAATTACACTTTCCTTATTTAATTCTTTTTGTCCACTGCATCACTACTCCATGCATGCAGTTAATGCCTAGCTAAGCTAAGACATGGATCGGGAGATTCTTCGCCTGCTGCAGTTAATCAATTTCAGAGGATTTGATGTTACTATATATTATGAAGGAGATTGAGAAATATATCTTCGCGGTCATTCATTACTTTCCCTTTGCCAATTAAACTTTGATTTTGTATTACAATTAAGAACATCTCTTAGCTTGTTTTTTTAAGACACGCCTACTCCCTCGCCCCTTTTTTTATTCATAGAATCAAATTTTATTCCCTTTGTTAATGTATTTTTATTACTCATTTAATAAAATAATATAGTCATGTACGTCACATCTACTTTTGTCAATCTTTTCATGTAGTTTTTAAATATGTAATTTTTATTTTTTAATTTCAAACTCTTAGACAATTACTTACTGTACCTATCGTTTTTAAATAAAGATCACAATTCTATCCGAATTCAACCTTTACGGACCCAACCAGAGCTTATAATATCCAAATCCGAACCGAAAAATTAAATATCCGAAACCGAGCCAAAAACATTAAACACCACCCGACTCTTATTGGGTTCGGTTTGGGCCAGTATATTTGACCGACCCGACCCAAACTGTACCCAATTTTCAATACGTTTTAAACACACTAAATTCCTATATTCCATGTATTTTTGATACACATGTTTTGAATGTTTTAAAACTTACTCCGTATTACATTTCTTTATGTTTTATTTTTTATTGTAGATAAATCTTGTGTGTTACCCCGTGTTATTTTCATTGTACTTCGTATACTACGGAGTATTAGTTAAAATTTACTATTTAATTTTTTTAGGGTTATTCGGTCATAATTATTTTTGTTAATATACTAAATTTTACATTTTTAATGTATTTCAATCTAAAAATTTTCATGAGTACTTTTATTTGTATTCAAACCCAAATTTGACCGTAACCAACCTGACCGAATTTCAAACCGAATCCGGGCCGAAAAAATAAATATCTGACACCGACCTGCGAAAACCAAACCCGAACCCGACTTAAGTTGGGTTAGGTTCCAATATACTCAAACCCAACCGAACCCGACCAGTTTCCATCCCTATTTTTAAAAGCTTCCGTAACGTTTGATTTGTTTACACTGATTAACTTATGATTTGTTTTTAAATTAATATAAATGGTTGATTAATTTTTAATATTATGAAATTATTGTGCATGTGAATATCAAGTTAGTAACAAGCCGATTTGCTAACTCATTGGAGTAATACATTTTGTCTATTTTCACTAGTCATTTGATAAAATAATATAGTTATGTAATTATGTCACACTAGATTTTGTAGAATTTTTTAAGGGTAATTTACCAAAATAGGACTAAAACATAATGATTTTTCTCAATATAGGACCATATTTTTTTATTTTCAAATGTAGGAACATTGGTCATTATTCATTAGTCATTATTCAAGTAAATATCTATCGTCCATCACTGGACATTATTTATCTCACTAGACATTATTGAGTACTATTTAGGAAATAAAAAGTTTAAGTCCTATATTAGAAAATGACTTATGTTTTTGTCCTATTTAGTGCAAATTTCACATTTTTAATGTATTTTTTAAATAAAAAAAATTTATTATAAACTTAACATTTATAATCAAATAAATTGAATTAAAAATAAATTTGGTCGCATCTTGTAAACTGAAAAGGGAAGTTTGTTTTAGACGAAGTGAGTATTTTATACTAAAATCTATTCTATTTGGGCCCAAAGTTTAATTTTTTTGAACAAGGTCTTGAGATTTTACAAGACGGCCCTCACTCTATGTGACACGTAATGTGACATGAAATGAGTTCCTATACAGTATATACGATATTTCTCGCACATCACGCATATACTTACTTAGAGTCCGTTTCGTAGAACTTATTTTTTCTACTTATTACTTATTCTTATTAAAATCAGATCAGATCTAATCAGATCAGATCAGATCCAATCATATCAGATCAGATCAGATCCAATCAGATCAGACCAGATCCAATCAGATCAGATCTAATCAAATCAGATCAGACCAGATCAAATCCAATTATATCAAATCAAGAAAAAATATAAAAAATAATATTTATATTTTTCAAAGATTAGATAATAATTACTAGTATTTGATTAAATCACATTACTTTATTTAAAACTACACACATCTAAATCTTAATTAATGTTATAATTTTAATTGTTATTATTGTTATTATTATTATTGTTATATTATTATTATTATTATTATTATTATTCAACTACAACCTATCATTCTCAATAATTGCTTAGCTTGTAGGATAGGAATGATACATGGAAGCAATGTTAAAGCTTAAAAGGTTATATTTTTCGTACTTTGAAAAGAGTTATTTTAAAATACTTGTTTATAAAATAATTATAAAAAAACTTAGTTTTCAAAACCATAAATATTTTATACTTAAAAAGAATTACTTTTAAACTTTAAGATGGTATAATATACACAAGAGTGAGTTTATGACAAAATTGATAGAGGTGAAAGAGATATTAGTGTTTAAAATTTTATATGATCTTTAATTTGTAACATGAAATATATTATTATGTAATGTGCACATAGAATGTGATATTTTTGCAGAATAGCATCCATATTTTCTAATATTTGGTTATTTTAATACCAATTATTTAGTTTTCAAAAAAATTAAAAAAGTAGTGATATCGAAAAGATGTTTAATATTAAAAAAGTTTAAATATATCAATGATTAGCTGAGTAAACTCCCGGTATATGTAAGAAAATTATAAAGCATTCCTGGCAGTGTATGTCAGGGGTTTTTTTCCCCGTAGTGCAACACGGAGTTGGCTACTCCGTTTAGTTTGGAATTATTTATTTAGACGGAGTTGGCTACTCCGTTTCGGCTGAATTATTTATTGGCAGAGTTGCCTACTCCGTTTGGCTCTGTTTTTTTTCTTTTTTCCATTTTTTCGGTTTGTTAATCCAGAAAGAAAGAAAAAGACATCATCCGTGTAAATCCTTTTAACCGTAGGAAAGGCAATCTAGCAATTGTTCATTCTTTCACAAAGGAGTCTTGCTCTTTTTTTCTTTTCTTTGTTTTTTACCATTTTCCCTTTTTTACTCCGCAATCCTAAAGATTTCATGTTTTGATTCTTTTTAAAATAATGACATTTTTTGTCACAAATTAAACATAATATAAATAATTTAATTATATTAAAAATTTGATATATCAAAATTACTCACTCTGTCCCAGCGTATTTGTCTAGTTTGACTTTTTCGAATCAAACTTGACAAATTTTGAGCTTCAATTAAATAAGAACCATAATGTATTTTAACACAAAATGGCTTTATTGGATTTATAGTATTGAGAACTTTCAAAATTGTATTTCATTATGTTAATATATATGCAATATAAATTGAGAGTAATTGGAGTTCAAAATTTGTCCAATTTGACTCAAAAAAGTCAAACTGGACAAATACACTGGGACAAAGATAGTATATCCTAAGTTGAAGCAAAATATATTGAATGAATATTATAATTAAGTATAATTTTCTCATAATTTCTAAATAAAGTGTGTCCACGCATTCCGTGCATTCATGTCTAGAGGTGGCATGGCAATCGAGTCAACCGGATCGGTTTCGAGTTAGATTTTTTCGGTTTGGATATCTTTCGGCTATATGTTATAATCGGTTCGATTCGGATCAAATATATGTTGGATATATATTATTTTTTAATTAAAATTTAAATATCCATATTTCTTTTTATGTTTCATCACATTTTTCAATCTATCATCAATTCACTAAATACTGCCGCTAGAGAGTATTTTCAAAGTACTAATGTTTTTTCAATTCAATCATACATCAACGCTTATTCGCGCATCCTAATGCCGCTTCCCGATGAGGCCGAATGGCCTACTCCAGGATACGAGATAGTGAGAACAACTGCACGAGCGAGGACACAAATCGGTCGACCTACAAGAACTCGTTCTCCGAATAACATGGACTGGCGACATCGCAATGAACAATAGCTTTATGTCTAACTTTATGTTTTATGAATTTCACAAAATAAATTAGTTATGGCATGTGTTTGGTAATCTTATTTTTATGAATAAATTGTATGTACTTTATGAATAAATTTGTTGTAATTTACTTCTTATTTTAATTTCGTTGTTTGCTGCATTATTTAAAGTCAATAAGAAATTATTTTATTTATGCATTTTATTATTAGTATATTGTTTCATTATATGTAAA